CCATGTAAGTGGCCCACCCTGTATTTTTGCCTCTTGTACATCGTCTTATTAGCATTTGGAAGAAGCCTGTGTCATTTACGGACAATTTTTGTCAAACACAACTTGCTGGTTGAATAACTTTAGGTCAGATTTTGCCAGGGGTATGAATAATTTATATTCACTATTGTTTAAATATCAGACTTAATAGAATATCAGACTTAAGTCACAATGTTTTTGATGAAATAAAACCTTTACCCACCTGCTGTGGCTGAAATTGACAGCCTGATCGCTGATGATTTCAAAGATGATTGGACGGTCCCCCATGCAGTACTTTCTCATCACCTCCATACAACTGTGCATGGTCTTGCGGGACGGTTTATTGTCATGGAACAGATCCCCACCCAGCAAAACAAAGTCAACCTTTGAGGAAAAGAATGTATGTAATTTAATCTTTAGCAACAGGTATATTTGATATGAATTTGATGCAAGTCTTTGTGAGACCTCTTGTCTCGATTTAAAGTCAGAATGAAAATGAAGTGAAATGTTTCAACAATAAATCTCTCTATATTTTAATTAAACATGTAAATGTAAGTTATGACAATAGATTACAAGAGCTCATAGAGTTGAAGGCCAACTTATTCACCCTCCTGTAAAAAAAACGTTATTAAAAATATTTCTCAAGAACATGTGTATTGAGGGCTTTTTGGGAGGAGGAACTGAATTTAACAATCGAAGAAAATATTTGGGATTTTATTCTTGCAAGAATGCATTCTTCATCAATAAACGCAAGGCGTACTCTCATTCAATTTAAGGTCGTGCACAGAATACACTGGTCTAGTACTAAAATTTTCCCTGATCTTGACCCAACTTGCCTTCGCTGTACAACCGAAGCAGCCACACTGGTCGTGTTTGAAACTGTGTGATTTTTGGGGGAAAATCTTCATGTGTTTTTCTGCTGTTTTTTTCATTGTCAATAGACCTAAACCCCTTAACAGCACTGTTTGGAATCCTACCAGAATATCCTGAATTAAATTCATTACCGGCCGAAAGCGTAGCCTTTGCAACCTTACAGGCTAGATGACTTATTTTTATGAATTGGAAGTCAGCAGGGGCCTCATGTATCAACGCTGCGTACGCACAAAAACTTTGCGTACGCCAGGTTTCACGCTCAGAATCGCTCACGTTTGGATTTAATAACGATGAACTGAACGTGGGAATGTGCGCAGCTCCACGCCAGCTTCATGGCTGGTGTACGCACATTTTTTGTGCGTGTCTGTTTTATTTCTATTGGCGACTCCTAGAGGCAGTTGTGTTAAATTGCACTCTACAAAGTGTCTGAGCCTTGCAATGGCAGCTGTATGAGACGGGTTCATCTAGCAGGTATATAAGGTTTCATCCCCGCTACTAGCAGCACACTCCATTTCCGCATTACTGGATCTGCAGTGACAACAGACCGCAAGGGATTATGGCCACGCCTGGGCTGATGGGAATTGTAGTTCCTGCTACCTCCAGTTCGCTTCATTCGCCTGAGCAAACTTTTCTCAAAAATATCGTTTAATTGAGTCATGCGTCTACGGTAATATTGAAAAACATTACTATTGCGGTATGACGGTATTTACAATACTGTTACATTCCTAATATATATATATATATATAAATAAAGAAGAAATAATGTGTGCATAGTTTCCATCCATGCTTCAATCATTGAACACCTTTTTTAACCAATTTTCTGGTCTGATCTCGAGCATAGGAATATATCTGACAATGCACCAATCAGGGGACGCAATTTTAAGAGGATACAAGTATTTTACAGTATTTTAAAATATAGCTAAAATATTTTGATTTTGATTCAAAATATTAACCTATTTTGTTGGTGATTCAGGTTGGGGGTTCATTCCGCTGTGGCGACCCTTGATTAACAAAGGGATTAATCGTAGTGGACCACCCCTTTAAGACTCACATATTAACCCTAACATCTAAAAAACTTAATTTATATTCACAGGACCTTTATAGAAACTAATATAGTTTTATTGAGTCATGCGCCTACGGTAATATTGAAAAAAAATTACTATTGCGTTATGACGGTATTTACAATATTGTTACATCCCTACTAGAAAGTAAATATTTATTTTTGGATGAACCACCCCTTTAAAGTTATCAATTTCTCAGATTCTGAAAACTGTTAAATTACATAACATTAAATTGTATGCTGTAGCAATGCATTGATTTACTTTAAATCTGTGCTATAACTTTAAATAATATTTAGCAATATTAATAGCTAAAATCACCATGATATATCTCCTCACCTCATTTTGCATAGCTTGTTTCATAATCTCGTCGAAGGTCACAAACGTGTCGTTCCCTCTAATGGCATCTTTCTCTAGATATCCCAGATGAATGTCAGTAGCAATGAGGATCTTGAACGTGTCCTCATCGTCACTAAAAAAACATTTAAGAAAAATAATCAGAATCAGAGCAAACATTTTGCGCAAACTGAGTCCAAACACACAATTGTGTGTGTGTAGTGTGTGTAGCTCAGGGTATATACATACATACTGTATATACAGTTAAAGTCAGAATTATATATATATATATATATATATATATATATATATATATATATATATATATATATATATATATATATATATATATAAAATATATATATATACACACACACACACAACACACACA